AGCGAGGGACCACTGTACATAGATCATAGACAGATAGATGAATTTATCTAAAAGCAGATATCACGTTCTGTTAAGTGCATCCTCCCAGTGAAAAGCTTTTGCTACTCAAAAATAGACTCGACTTTCTTGGAATATTTAATAAAAATCTGTAATTTCTCTACCTGTCCAAAAGATCTTCTCTCCATGAAAGGGTGCCATGTATTTGTATTCCCACCATTATTCATGAGGACAATAAAGGAAATTCTTAAGGGTATTTTTTTTTCCAGTTAAAATGTAAAACAAATGATGTAGAAAACAAAAGCCAAAAGATTTTTTTAGACTAAGGGGATTTGACACATTTTTTGACCCAAATCATTCCAAAGAACTTCTTGGAGCAAATGCTGCCATCTTATTTCAAAGCTTTATCTGAATGATCTTTGATTTCAGTGGTCACCAGGGCATACAAAATGCCCATGTTATACATCAAAATACAACATTGCTACATAACTTTTAAAAATTTGGTCGAAATTATCCTAAAGTTAGGTTTTAATAAGATGCCATAGATACCAAAATAAATGACACAGTTTAAGATTAATTCTCATAAGTCCATTATTAATGCCTTTACCTTAGCTGGTCTGTTTATTTGTTTTACAGCAATGGTGTAAACACGACCATTGAGTACATCCTGGAAGTCTACAGCGTCTCGCCGTTGTTCGGTTCTTTGATGGGAGGAACCAAGCTGACCGTTTCTGGCTCTGGTTTCAGCAGCAATGTATCTGACAACACTGTGTCTGTTGGTAAGCAACATGTGATCCAGTCGTAATTATGCCAACCGTGTGTTTTACTAGCAAATATATTTAAACAATTTATATGAATGGAAGTTAATGATGGTGCAAAAGCTTGCAAATATTTAAAAACGGTGTAACAGAGCTGCATCACTGATCTCCTTCATGTTTTCTGTTGGCGTTGTGACAGGAAACGCTGCTTGTGAAGTGACGGCCGCCTCAGAGAATGAGCTGCAGTGTGTTGTGCAATCAGAGGAGAAGACCCACATCGTTACCAACCAGGGATTTGATCGCGGTAGTTTTATGTTTCTGTGCTTTGTGCAGCTGTCAAACTAAATCTGAGAAGCTGAAGTTGTGTACAACAGAAAGAGGATTAACTTACCGAAAACATACACCTGCGAGGAAGTTGTCGCCTGTAGTCTCTATGCAACTAAAATGCAACTGATTCGCAAAGAAATGTCTCAGATTGTGTTAGATATCAGACACTTTAATCCGTGTGTGTGTTTGTTGGTTCTTTGTGTAAATCTTATTCAACGTAACCATGCGTTTTCCAGTTTATGGGCAGGGAAATGCGTGGAGTCCAGCCTCACTCACCGTATTCGTTGGCGACACGGTAATGTGGCGTTGGGAGGCACCAGCCTTTCAGGAAGTTGGGTACCGGGTCTTCAGTGTTTCCAGCCCAAGCGGCACCTCTTATGAAGGAGGACCTTTCACCAGTGGAGAGACCAAAACTGCCCAAGGTAGAACCAGAGTCAGCTGTGCACAGATTTATGAAAAGCTTTTCCCTTCTTTATCTCCAATCACCAAAACAATCCACCATAACTTCAGTGTGTGATTTTGTTAATTAAGATTGTGTTGCTATGGTTCTTCTTTGTTTCCCTTTAAATATTCAGATATAATCCTCTGGACTCTCATTTAAAGTTTTATTTTATCCCACATTGATCTCTGTGCTTCACCCTGCGTACACTGGACAACTGAAATTGTTTTATTTACTGGATTTAGGAAGTTCAAAGCTTTGAATGGAATATTCCCGCCCAAAAAGGAAACAGTATTATAAATAAATAAAACACAAACAGGTCCAACAGGGTACGGTGATAGGCAGTTTAATTTTCAGAAATCATTATAAAAAAGTAATAAACTTACTCCATATTGATGATATTAAACTCTGGTTTATTGTTGCTGTGCTGCACACTGTAGCCGCTTGTAAAACATGACCTCATTACGTCTAGATTTCATGAGTTGTATATGAGAATGACTGGACACCTTTCATTTAGTGTATGTATAGCGATGTCATGATAAGCTACACGTGTTGTGCATGAATGAGTGTGCTGTGTTACACCTTTCAACATGCGTGAGCCATACTGAACTAGATAAGCGCACAGCGTGTCCAAGAATCTGTCGTGACTTGATGTGACGTCTTTACAATCTGGGTCTCGTGTCCCTCAGGATTTTTCAGCTACCGTTTCACCGCGCCCGGGGTTTATTACTACAGCAGTGGCTACATAGACAATGCCAACCTCAGACTCCTGCAGGGAGTCGTGAGAGTCCAGAGTCGGGAGGAAAAGAGCAGCAAGGTCTCTGTCCGAGTGAAGGGCATTGAGGCCAGACATGTGGCTGGAAGTAAGTTAATATAAGTGGATAAGAAGCTATGATTGATTTATCCAGTTCTAAGGTAGAATAAATAAAAGGTAATGATCTGATTTACTTACTACAGGTTCACGTCGTGTCTCCAGAGCAGCGCCACAGTGCATTGCCTCCCCACAGTGCCAACAGTCCTATCAGACTGATACGTTTTCCCTCAGTACCTCCGCCTGCACCACTCCCATGGTTTACTCCATTTCTCCCAACCAGGGCTCATACCACAAAGTGATCCAGATCAAGGGCAAAAGCTTCAGCGACGTGGCCTGTGCTAATGAGGTCAGCAGAACTTTTTAAGACTGCATCATTGAATGAATTAAATGTAAAATATCTTCTTTGGGCAGTGATTGTCCTGCATATCCCTTCTTAAAGACCCATGTTATACATCAAAATACAGCATTGCTACATAACTTCGTTTTAGGATGCCGGAGAGTATATTCAGTATGACATAAATGTTTGATATATAATATAGGTCAATAAAAAAACAACAGTACAGGCTCCCAGAACCTTTTGAATGGCCTGATTAAATTATTCAGCTTTTATTTAATAAAACGTCTGGAACATTCGAGTGGCAGTTCTATTCAGTCTACTTTAACCAGTCATTTCCATGGGATATTTTTTGCTATCCAGAGACAGACTGGATCAAGCATTCTGAGAAAAAGAAAATACAATTAAATTAAATGATTTGTTGATCTGAATCTGTTTGATTTGACAGTTGAGATCTAAAAGTTGAGAACTAAAACGAATGGATAAACAGTAGAAATAGACAGCCATGCATGTGACTTAAAAAGATAAACAGTGGTCAAAAAATGGAAATAAATTGCTAGCTAATAAATTTTTACCTAATAGGCTGTTTAGAAAAGCATGCAATTGACATTGTTAGCTAAGTGTACCAATAAAACATAGACTGTACATAAACAATGGACTTGGCCACTGTGACTTCACATATTGCTTGGGATACTGAGTGTTTTCACCCAGCCCGTTCTCACCCCCGCAGCATAATATACAGACAATTTGTCAAGTCCCGAGGTGTTCCTGAGGAACGCGTTCTTATGCTACGCGCCGGGTTACGGATGAAATCCCGTAGAATGACGCTCCCGCGGTAATACACGTCCCAGCCATGTATTCCAGCCCTAACCCTAACCTTAACCAGCACTTTAATGACATTAGATAGTGTTTTCCAAAGCGATTTAAGTAAAACAAACGTACAGGTGTAGATTCATTCCAACGGTTCTCATGTTTCCTCATTTTTCCGATCTCGTAATATAGGAACGTGTTGGGCACCCGGAAGCGTAATATATCGATGATTTGTCATCGATACTTAGCATAAAATGTTACATTTTGGGAGTGAGAGCGTGTTGATTCACCATTGTCATGTGCACAAAAAGCCACTACTTAATGAGTTTGCCCAGGTTTCTGATGCGAACAAAAAACATTGAACGTCAATCAGAAACTCATCAGGGAAGTATTGGGGGGATTAGACAAAAGTCATTTTGCAACCAGAGCTCTTGCCCCAACCCCTCTCGACACCATAAAACAGAATACAGACACAAGACACTTAAGCATTTGCACAAATAACATTGCTTCATTAAAGCATGCTGGAAAAGCTCGGTAGTTAGCTAAGATTTTGAAAAAAGTAGTAATTAAAGATTAAACAACTGAACACTAACATTAGCTAAATGTATATTAAAAACAGTAGTGGTTTAAATGAAGTTGTAAGGATTTTGTGGCTGTAAGACCTTAATGCAATGTACTTAAATTAATAAAACACTTGTGTCATTATAATGAAAGCATTCAAGCACACATGCTTAGTCCTAAGCTTCAATTAACACATAGTTAATTTCATTATACCATTTAGAAAAGTCATCTTAATCCTAAATCTCAGTTCTTACCAATAAATGTGTTGTCATTAACTGAAGCTAGACTCGATTAGCTTTGATATAGCTCTTGTTCAGACTTGTTACCCACAGTGGTGTGCTCTGTGTGCTGCAGGTGATGGTGGGAGATCAGCCCTGTCAGGTGATCAACAGCTCCCAATCTGAGATTAACTGCCAGCTCAGTCCCAGCAGTGAACTTCCCATCGGCCTTGCTCTCCCTGTGGCCGTCAGAGTCAACAACCTAGGCAACGCCATCATCGCTGTGCCAAATGAGCTTGAGCGTCGCTTTGTGGTTCTCCCAGTGGTTGACTCAGTCTCGCCTCCTATCGGAAGCCCCACTGGCCACACTAGGCTCCTCATCCGCGGTTCTGGCTTCTCAGAGGGACTCGTAATTGTAGCCAGCGAGCTCTGTCGCATCCAGTCTCT